TCAAAGTTTCTGCCTTTTGACATATGGAACAATATTTGTTTCGGATCGCAATGAATAAAACCTTTGTAGTTCTATAACCAACGATACAATATACATGCCTATTCAAAATAATTTAGTAAATTAATTTGCTGAACATTGTTTCCCATAAAAATAAAATAAAATTTAAAAATAAATAATCAAAAAAAGTACATAAATATATTATGTATTATAATATATTCACGTGTGAAAGTGTAAAATAACGATTTCTATATTTTTTTTAGGTACCTAACTCAATACTACTATAGTTTATAGATCATTATTATGTACTTACTACTTCGGATAAAGCATTATAGTTAGACTTATACGATCTTTTAGACCAAGCTCCATCAGCTACAACACTTATTATAGGAATCCCGTCTTTACTTATATCACCATTGTCGTTTGCAGGTTTAGCTTCTTCTTTTGCGGCATCTTCGGTTGCTTCCCAAGAAATACCTACCTTCAATTTGTTTTCCTACTTCTTCATGAAGCTTTTGGTATGTTGAATTAGACACAGAGGGCATATTTAATGTTGCAGAAAATTTTTCTAGGTTTGAAAACCCCTGACCCATATTTATAGTTGATGTTACCATAGCAAAATTTTTTGGTAGAGGGTTTTTTGGGCATTCAGAGGACACAACTTCTTGTGTATTACATACTTTGCATTTAAAAACAAATTTACTATAAAATCCTGATCGACACTCTTTCATAAGACATAAATTCGAAAAATTACAACCAAATGGTTCGTGATTTATTTTAGAAATTGTTTCAAAAATATATTTTATGTCCACTATTCGTCTACCATCAATGACGTCAACTACGTGTTCTCTGTAAATAAAGTTAAAAAAAATCTCTTCCTTATTTCATTTTTATTTTTAATTCATTATAAATAAGTTGAAGATTGATAATTACTCAGAATTCAAAGATGGTGTATTATGCGCTAACTGTAAACCGTCATTTATGTTTGTTGGAGTACAATAAGTTTCTTCAACCATGACGTTAGTATCTTCGACATTAACAATAGGTCTATAATTCAGAAATTAAATAAAGTTTTTGGAATTACAATAGAATTGTAACATTTTAAAATTATTTTTTAATTTACACTTATAAATTAAAAACTGGAGAAGTTGCTCTGTATTATCACTGTATATAATGGATGTGTTAAAATTTAATGCAATGATTGGTAAAATTATTATAGGTTATGTAAAATTGTTTGTAATTCACAAAAAATCTAAAACAATGAATAAATTATAGTCTATAGGTACTTTAAATATATTCACTTACATGTTATCACGACAAACTGCGTCAGTACTAGTTGTATTAGTTATTGATGGTATACTATCCTATAAAAATATCATAGTTATCAAAATACAAAATTCAAAATCAGTAATAAACCAAATCAACTTATCTTTTTAGGTACATTTTCTTTTCTCAGCGTTAATATTACCTTTATTTTTTTTTTTTTTACTTAAATATGGCCTGAATTTTTTACCAAGATAATTTTTTCTATTCATTTTCAATAATTAAAAAATTAAGGTAAAGTACCTACATGCAATTTCTAAGTACAAATGAAAATTACCTACGACACTTCCGTATACTCGACAACGATCGTATACTAATAATATTATGTTCATTGATAAAATGTTTACTCTCATAATATAATCCAAATAATATTATGGTACCTATTTAGTATTTTTGTCAATAATACGTAGGTTCATATAGTCATTCGTAGAAACAGCGATAACGAAAACAATAATTAGTGTAGTGGTGGCCGGTCGGCTAAATATAATACGCACGCCGCGCCATGTCGCACGCACACACATGCACATGTCATTTACACCAAAACCAATTTATGGATGTGAAATAGCCGTCGCACTGACAAAAATTAAGGTACTTCTAGTGATTCGATTTAAAAAATGTAAAGATATATGAGTTGGTAAACAAGTTTACTTTGCATCGGTCGGAGCACTTTTTCAATTTTATCAAATCATTGACGATAAATAAATATCTTACATTTTATAAATTTGTTAATTTTTTATATTGAATATATTAAAAAATATCTAAAACATAAAAAAATATGCTCCGACCGATGCAAAGTAGACTTGTTGACCAATTCAAACATCTTTATATTTTTTTAATTGAATCACTAGAAGTACCTTAATTTTTATCAGACGCTAAGGTCGTTTTGATGAAAAATTGATAAGGTTTGCAATCCCTTTAACACAAAGAATTTTGTTATAATTCGGTTCCAAAACAGCCCAATTTTACATATGAATCTCTAATATTTTTCCATCATCACTGATTATTTAAGAATAATATTAATTCAACTTACCGGCTACCATATTTATAATAAGTAATAACAATATAAAGTATCCTAGACTGACATACCGTCTCCCCTAAGAATCGTTCTTCGCATTCAATGATATGATATCTTTGAATTCAAATTTAATGCCATCCATCACAGTGACTTCCTAGACACCTAATGTACAGGAGAGTTACGTCCACTTACCCGTTTTTTTTTATTTATTTTAAATATTAATTAAATTAATATTATAATTATATTTTTATTTGCTATATTTAAGAGTCAGTTATGTAAATTAAATAATTATCACGGTTACATTTTATTCATAATTTTTAATGAGTTTTTAATTTTGCTGCTGATGTAACATTACCTCGGGAAAAAATTGGATTTTCTGCGGTGTAAATGAAGTTATGAACCTATGAACCCTGATTTTGTGGTTACGAATGGTTACCGAGTCCGTATTTAGGGGGGGGGGGCAATTGGAACATTTGACCCGGTCGGCCAAATATTGATCTATTTAGGGGGCGGCCGGGCACCGCTGTAGCCCTGTGTAATATTGAATCAGTTTTTTCTTTTTAGGAAAGAATTTGTACTATGATAAGGCCATCATTTGATGGTGTCATTTGTCAATCAAAGATAACTGATAAGTGCTAGCATAGAAATGTGGAATATAATTAATATTATTTTAACATAACCACTAATGTTGATAGAAAAAGATGCAAGCCTGGGCATAAACGCGTTAAAAAGTTAAAAGTTAAGTTAATTTTAACTTTTAACTTAACTTTTTAAAATTTAATTTTCATTAACTTAATTTTTATCTTAACTTATTTTAATTTGTATAAACTAATAAATAACGAGTTACTTTTAATCAGATTCAAGTTAAGTTAATTTATAAATAATTAAATTATAAATAAAATTATTATTGAAATTTGATCCATATTGTATATACATTTACTGGAATAATAGAATAGGAAATACAATTTAATTCTCTTTCCGTTAATCAGAATTGTTCAATAAAAATAACTTAGTTAATTATATATAGGTGTACCACTATACCTCGGCCAGTGTTCGGAACGTTCACGAAAAAAATGAACTCGTTCACGTTCACGTTCAGTCCTTCAAAAAGGAACTCGTTCACGTTCACGTTCGTGTTTTTTTCAAACGAACGCGTTCACGTTCACGTTCTTTTAAAAAACGAACGCGTTCGTTGGGTCGCGTTCATTTAATTTTTTTTTTATGAATCGTTAGCCTGCCATGAATATAAAAATTAAAATCCCATAAACACATACGACTCAAACAAAAAATAAAAATACAATTTAGAGCATATGGGGGAAAGTGGGGCAGAACGGGGGGCCATGTGGCAAAACGGGGACATTTCAATATTTATGTCTTATAGTTATAGTTATAATGATCATACTGATTTAAAAACTTAATATATAGATTTCTGGGGCCAACAATATCATATAATAAAAATTTCATGTTCACATATCAATTATCTTATCAGTAATAAATTTAAATCATTACACATGCCTCTTATCAATAGATTGATATAATAAACTGTTATTTTATTTCAAAATATTTTTATGGTTCACTTATTGTACCTATCTTAAATTTGTTTTTGCTGTTTCTATAGCAAATGTTCTTAAGATTATTTTAATAATATTAATTATTAAAAAAAAATAATTGTTGTGTTTACTAACAACGGCTGAAGTTAAGTGTAATCATTGGGGCATAATGGGGTACCTTACAACATTACTTTTTTTTTTAATTTTTAAGTTTACCTACTAGGGTAGGCACTATATCTATAATGAGTATTTAATTAAAATGTACCTATTTAATAAATGTAAAAGTTAAAATTTACAAGCAATTATTATTTTTTGTTATTGTACAATTAGTATACTAAAATATATTCCCATAAATATAATATAATATATTACATTATGTATATGCAAGTTATACAAGTTGTTTAAATGACAAAAAGTTTAAGTTGATTAATGTAATTGTATTTATGTAAAATGAAATAATATTTATGTGAAATAAATAATATTTGAGGGACGTCCCCAGGTATGGGGCAAAACGGAAAAAATTATACTTAAACCTATTTTTACCTTTAACACTATGAGACTTAAATGAATGTTTAAAACATGCTAACATATTAATAACCATTTCCTAAAGATTACATAGTTCAAGTTTCAAATCAAAAACACAATTTTTGAGTGAATTATTGCTTCTGATACCTTAGGACCCCCGTTCTGCCCCACCTTCCCCAACAATTCATAAAGTTTGACACGTTATTTGAGTTACATTTTAATAAGAATTTCATAGTGATAAAATTAAGCAAATACTAGGGCACTATACACACAACCAAGAGATTGGACAAGGTCGCCTTAGAAAAATCAGCTACCTCCATAGTTTTTTTAAGAGTTGAAAAAATCTTTTCGATTGAAGACTTAAATTTAGGTCGAATTGAAAATTATAATTGTAATTATTAAATATATTCAACTCAGACAATTCAAATATTGAAACAAAAACAGTAAATAGGTACAATAGGTACATGATAAATAAATAATTCATATTTTAATTCGATACATTTTTAAAACTTTATTGAATAAAAAAAAAACAACTTGTATCCTTGTTAGGTATTATAACATCAAATAAAATTTTTAAAAAACTGTAGGTAAATATCTATTTATCTAAATAAAAAAGAAAACTATTTGTAAATTTTATTGAACTTCAAAACATCTTATTTTGTTTTAATAAAATTAAGTTTTCAAACATATCATCACCCAGTCTATGACGTTTTGATGTCATTACATTCCCTCCAGTACTAAATAACCTTTCTACTGGTGCACTAGAGGGTAAACCTGTATTAAACTGAACAAATTTTAATAGTACTTTAGGAAATGCAAATAAACTTTTTAAATCAATATTTTTGTTATTTAAGAAATTTAAAAGTTCTTGATCTGAGGTTATTGTATTATTTTTATTGGAATAGCTTTTTGTTGGTAAACAAAAAAAATCTTTATTTGAATCAGAATCAGAATCACTAACTGAATTACCATCAGATACTTCATTTTCAGAACATAAAAACTCAGTTTTTAAAAATAATTCAGCATTCAATTTTTCGTCACCTTCTAGCCAATTTAGTTTAAATCTTGGAATAAGACATGCAGCAATTACTAATTCTTTTTCCATCCATATGTGAGCAAATCTATAACACCAGTAACATAGTAATTATTAAAAAGTAATATTAATTAAGATTAATATATTAAATAATAATTTATTTAATTTTCTAATTTAATCTTACAAACCTTTTTTTTAATGATCTTAAAACAGCTTCTAATAGAAGTGTACAATGTGTCATAGGTTTACATTGTCTATTTTTAATCTTTTTCTCCAAAGCATGTAAAGTCGGTAGCAGATATCCCATATACATGGCTTTTTCACCTTGTAAGAAATCTAAGGACTCTGCGATTGGTCCAAATATATCACAAAATTCATTTATGAATACAGCTTCTTCGTTTAATATTCTTGGTAATGTATTAAAATCCATGACTTGGTTCAATTTTTCTAAGCCACCAGGTCCATTTATAATTCCTTTTAATTGAATTAATGCATCATATGTAGAATTCCATCTTGTTTTATTAGGTACTCTCAAATACACATTAAGTACTTCATGAATGTTTTCTGCCACAATCGTCGACTGATTTTGTTTTGACCAAAGTTTTGTTAGCTTTGCAAAGAGTTTTCTGTAGAGCTTTTTGAGTTGAAGAACATCAGCCTTTCTTTCATTTTCATTAAACCATTTTTCAACATCATTAGTTGCGACCAAGTTCAAAGTATGACTCACACATCGTCTGTGAGCGGACAAACTAACTTCATTTACATAGTCAATTTCTGTATCAATTTCAGCATTTTCAAATATACCATTTAAATCAATTAGCTCTAATTCTTCATCTTCATCGAATAAGTTTTCCTCATAATTTTTATCAATTCCAAAAACCCTAAATGCTTTTACAAAATTGCTACCATTATCAGTTGTAGTACTGGTTACTTTATTTTGAATTTTGTACTTTTTGTTTATATTATATATTTCTTGTGCTATTACATCAAAAGTATGTCGACCTTTTATCACTGTGCAAGCTAATGATGCTCCTTCTCTAACTAACGTTGTTATATTAATCCAATGGGCTGTTATGCCAAGGTAAGATTTTTTACCTTGGGTCCAACAATCTGCAGTTTCTGATATATATTCAATATTTGACAGTGTTTTAGAAATATTATCTACCATTGCATTAGCTGCAGAGTTTAATCGAGTTTTTAATGTTTTTGAACACATAACAGTTAATGTTTTTGGAAGTCCCAATCTAATTAAATTCAAAAATACTGGCTTGTCAACAATATTAATTGGCTGTGTATCTTGAACAACAAATTTAATTATTGCTGAGTCCAGTTGTTTTTGTGTAATTATTTCATTTCCAGTACCTATTCTGTTTAATGTAGTCTGTATGAGATTGCTCGATTTATCATTTATCAGTAGATTTTTTGTAACTGTATCCTCATCATTTTGTAAACAATTCGTTTTTTTTTCTACATCTGTATCAGCAAGGAACTCTGCATACTTATA